CAACTATGATGGTAGCCAACGTGCTGGCTTTCCATCTGGACAATGGCCGCCAGCAAGCTGGCTTCCACTGCCTGTTGTCAGCCAGCAAGCTGGATTCCACTGCCTGTTGTCCAAGGCACGTGTTAGTTGTACTACCAAGTCGCCAGTTCTCATCTTCCCGCTCCCCAGCTACTCCGCGCACTACAGTTATATACTACACCGTCGCCAGTTCGCAGCTACTACCCACTCGCCAGTTCTCCTCTTCCCATTTCCCAGCTACTCTCCATACTAAAGTTGTACTACCCAGTCGCCAGTTCTCATCTTCCCAGTCCCCAGCTACTCTGACTCTGCGTACTAAAGTTGTACTACCAGGTCGCCAGTTCTCATCTTCCAGCTCCCCACCTACTCCGCATACTAAGGTTGTACTACACAGTCGCCAGTTCTCAGCTACTACCCACTCACCAGTTCTCATCTTCCCACTCCCCAGCTACTCTGCGTACTACTGTTGTACTACCAAGTCGCCACTTCTCATCTTCCAGCTCCCCCGCGACTCCGCGCACTACTAAAGTTGTACTACACAGTCGCCAGTTCTCAGCTACTACCCACTCACCAGTTCTCATCTTCCCACTCCCCAGCTACTCTGCGTACTACAATTGTACTACCCAGTCGCCACTTGTCATCTTCCAGCTCCCCCGCTACTCCGCGCACTACTAACGTTGTACTACAACATCGCCAGTTCTCAGCTACTCCGCGTACTAAAGTTGTACTACGCAGTCGCCAGTTCTCAGCTTCCAGCTCCACAGATTGCTCCGCGTACTAAAGTTGTACTACAAAGTCACCAGTTCTCAGCTTCCAGCTCCCCAGCAGCTCCGCGTACTACCGTTGTACTACCAAGTCGCCAGTGCTCATCTTCCAGCTCCCCAGATACTCCACGCCCTCCAGTTGTACTACCCACTCGCCAGTTCTCATCTTCCCGCTCCCCAGCTACTCCGCGCACTACTCTCGCACTGCCGCATCGCCAGTTCTCCGCTTCCAGCTCCCCAGCTACTCTGCGTACTAGAGTTGCGTACCAAATCGCACTCTCGCCTGTGTTTCGCGCACTCGACACGCACGATCTCCGCAGAGGGTTGCGCGGGCAGCCGGCAAATCACACTCTCGCCTGCATTTCGCGCACTCGACACGCACGATCTCCGCAGAGGCTTGCGCGGGCAGCCGGCAAATCGCACTCTCGCGTGCATTTCGCGCACTCGACACGCACGATCTCCGCAGAGGGTCGCGCGCACACCCGGCAAATCGCACTCTCGCCTGCATTTCGCGCACTCGACACGCACGATCTCCGCAGAGGGTTGCGCGCACACCGGACAAATCGCACTCTCGCCTGCATTTCGCGCATTCGACACGCACGATCTCCGCAGAGGGTTGCGCGCGCACCGGACAAATCGCACTCTCGCCTGCATTTCGCGCACTCGACACGCACGATCTCCGCAGAGGGTTGCACTTTCGGTTGACGCTGTTCGTCCCGCACTCCGCCTTAAGAGAGAATTTATAAAGTGGGGAAATGTTTTTTCATTAGGACATCTCCCGTGCTAGTTTTCCATACTCACACTTGCCTACTCATTGCGTGCTTGTATACTCATTGCGTGCTTGCATACTCACCCTTGCATATCATGCTTGCATACTTACACTTGCATACTTTGACACTGGCATACTTCGCACTTGGATGCTTTCGCTCGTCCAGTGTGTGTGTGTGTGTAAGTGTAAGTGTCGAAGTGTAAGTGTTCAAAGGATTTTCCGGAAGAACCCTTCGCAGTGCTTTCGGGAATAATGTCAGGTCTTTGGTTGTTGTGTGTCGATATCAACAGATGTACTCGATGCTGGGGTGAACATAAAGACGCTCTTGATGCATAGCGGCTAGCGTAAGTGATTCAATTAATTAATGAGTTCAGGTACCCAGATATTAAACAAGTATGTAATCATAAAGGGGGCTCAGGCTCAGGAGGGCCCCCTCTAAGGGCGCTCCTTGAGGGAGGTGCTCAACTAGTTCTGAGCACAGAACACGGGAGCGCCTCCCTTTTCTAGACCATGCATGCAGATTGACGATTAGATATGCATCATCCATCATCTCAAGGATGGTCCGCTTTTTGGACCTTGTCTCACCTTCAAGGGCGGGAGGTGAGGTTAACTAGTTAACTGTGAAAACAAGAGAAACCATAGCAACAAGAAGAAGTTAAGCCAGCGAGGCACTGTTGTAGGCCTTTGTAGATCACTGGGCTTTGTGGATAGTGAATGTCCCACCTGTCCGAGTGGGCTTGTTCGAGGACAACGCTGCAGATCATCAGCTACAACTGAGCAAAAGGGGTCACTAGCTTGCTCAACTGTCCTCCTGTACATATGCCACAAGATCACGTGAGCCTTTTGAAGGCCTTTGTGGTCAGAGCCTGTGTGGCTCAAAGAGTTTTCGTTTCAATTTTTATCAGAATCATGCGGAGAGAGAAGAGACGCACAGTGCAAATTCGTGCCACGAACTGCTTGGGCATGATCCTTGACCGGCTTTGATGGTCAATACGATGTAGGTAGGTGATTGCATGAGTTGCAACTTGAGGTGTGTGTGACCGCTCTGCACAGGGGCGGGTCCACCTTTAGGTGAGCGCACGGTGGGTGCACCCGTTCCTGTCCCGGCCCTGTCCCTGCATGGCTGCCCTTCCGAGGCACTGGTGGTTGAGAATGCTGATGCCTTTCAGAAAGCCTCGGAAGAACTCGCAGAGAAAGAAGAGGTACCCGCAAAATCAGCGAAGTATGGGGAGGTTTGGACGACATGCTCCTACAATGACTTCAGCTATAGTGTGCTATTGTGATGCATTGACCGACGTGTTTCAACCATAGCTTGGTGCGTGCAAGAGCACCTGCTGCCTGGTATTGGACTGCATAAGAAACTGTTTGTTGGTGTTGCCGGTCTTGGAAGGCACTTGAGAATGCGATGAAGAAGCAGCAGGCAATCAAGTGGGAAGCTGCATTCTCACCGAATTGTCCTGTCCGATCATACAGTAGTCTTCATCACAGCCATTGAGGGCCATGGTCATTGAGATGAATCCTCGCTATTAATGATGTATTTCTGAAGACAAATGCCCACATTGCCAATCATTCCCTTACTAGGAACAAAGGGCATCGCTACTAGGAGGAAGGACACTACTAGGGGCTGGCCCTACTACTAGGAACAAGAAGCTACTAGTAACAAAGGGCATCGGTACTAGGAGGAAGGACACTACTAGGGGCTGGCCCTACTACTAGGAACAAGAAGCTACTAGCAACAAAGGGCATCGCTACTAGGAGGAAGGACACTACTAGGGGCTCCTGGCCCTACTACTAGGAATCAGAAGCTACTAGGAGCAAAGGTCACAGGTGTCCCTTTTTGAGCACTCGAAAAGCTCCATGAGGAGCTCATCGCCCAGATGAATCTGGTCTCTGCTGAGCTCCAGGGCCAGGTCGGCACTCGGGACCCCGAATCCGGTCAGTGCGAATGGTATACATGGAAATAGCTGCCGGATCGAGTCATCTGATTCCTTGTGCATTGTGAAATAGATAGGGCTAAACTGGGGTTTTGCTGATTGCGGATGGATCTAGTTTTTGGAGGCAAACTCCATCGCGGTTGTTGACATGTTCCCAAAGTCATAAAAAGGTGACAGGATCAGGCTTAGTTTTGCATTATCCTTTTCCAAGGTCGCAACATGCAGCAGTTTGCCGCTCACTGCTTTTCAGTCCGCCTGGTAGGGTTTTGCTTTGGACCTGAACAGCTTCCTATCCAAGTATTGCTACACCCTCTCAGCACCTCGGGTTTAGTCAGTTCAGCAAGATGGATACTGGAAGGCCTGATGTCCACACTTCAATTATGGCTCACAACTGTACTTTATGAGTCTATGAGATCTAACATTGAAAGAGAGAAAGGTACTAATTTAGGTACAGTAAGTGCTGTTTTCTTTCAAGATAAGGAGGAGCTTTTGCTTTACTTTGAACAAGAGTACAAGGTGAGGGCCTTGCTCCAATCCAAGTTCAGGTGCTGACATGACAAACTATTGTCATCCTTGACAAAAGGCAGAGAGATAAGACAACTACAACATTTTACCAGCTGCCCCGGCCCCAGCCTCCTCTACAAAAGAAGAAAGAGGTTCTGTGACATTGAGCAAGGGGAAGACGTCCATGAGGTCACATGTGAGTGCCCGCCGAAGCCGAAGCCAACTTTCTTTCCGGTTCTGCGATTCATCACAATGGTTTTGCCAGGTGAGTCATTTGTCCAAGGAGCTGGAGCTTAGCAAGGCGGGCATGGTCTCTTCAAGACTGGGTTGTCGTAGTACGCTTCTGGTCTTACTTGGTTAGGCGGCCAAGGAGCAGCTGCAGGCTGCCGTCACAAGGCTGGGTTATTGTTAAGAAGAGTCTTGAAGTCTACTGTACCTGATGTGGTGTCTTGGCTGCGCAGGTTGATGTCAGCCCACTTTCTGAAGGACAAGAGTTAAAACGAGCAAGATATTAGCATACACTCAACTCATATATGTATAATATCTCCTTGTACCGATCTACAGATCAGATCGAGTCTCTCACTGTATGGGTGCCACCATGAAGTAGCTGACCAAGGTGTTGCTATGTGGCCACACTTGTCACCTGCTCACCAAGCCACTACTTAATAGCGATGACCTCCAACCAAATAGCAATGGTTTCCAACATAATGACGATGGCCTCCAACCCAATAGCGATGGCCTGCACCTAAGAGCGATGGCCTCGAACCGAAGAGCAATGGCCTCCACCTAACTCCAACCAAAGACCAATGGCCTCCACCTAAGAGCGATGGCCTACAAACTAATAGTGATGGCCTCCACCTAAGAGCAATGGCCTCCAACCGAAGAGCACTAAGAGCGATGGCCTCCAACCTAGCAATGGCCTCCAAACTAAGAGC